GAAACGTCAGCTTTCCTGCTCCTCTGATGCTGCTTGGCCTGCTGTGTTCATCCAGCTCTACACCTTGTTATCTCAGATTCTCCAGCATCTGCAGTTCCTACTATCTCAACTTCTCCGTCCCTGTTTTCTCAACACTGCAAGATTAAAATACACAATGCTCAAAATTGATCCAGTGATTTCTAACCAGACATTGAGTAGCCGATACCAAGCAACAGATTTATAACTTAAACAATAGATTTTAATATGTATTAATAATACAGTAGCTTTAACAGAGCAAAGTTCGACCACAGAGTAATCTAAATAATGCCTGAGATTTAACCCAATCTTTGATTCTAGCCCCCATTCACGTAAGCCAGACACACAGATACAGTTAAGGATTAAATCAAAGGAAAATAAATGAGATGTAACTGGCCAGTTCATTTAAGCAGACTCCGCAATCTATAATCTCACAGGCACATGGGATTGTATCTTGCATGGTTTTTGAAGACACTGACGCATGCAAATAACTTCTAGTAGGCACTGAATGGTATTCACTTAATACTTAAAACTCCAATTTCAAATAACCTTCCTACCCATTCCTCAGCTCCCTTTCCAGCCCACCTCCTCTCATCCATCCCACCTTCCGACCCTCCCTTCCAGCCACCAACCTGATTCATCGACCAAGCAGGTCATACCTGCGATGAAAGGGTCTAGGCCCGAAACGTCAGCCTTACTGCTCCTATGATGCTGCTTGGCCTGCTGTGTTCATCCAGCTCTGCACCTTGTTGTCTCAGATTTTCCAGCATCTGCAGTTCCTACTATCTCTGATACCTACTACCAGTGTCCACTTATCACTACTATTCCACTGCCCCCACATCCAGTCCTGCAGAAGGGTAATACCCAAAACGTTGACTTCTCCTTTCCTCCAGATGCTGCCTGGCTTGCTGTGTTCTTCAAGCCTCCTGTGTGTTTACCAGTAGACTACCTGTATTAGCAGTGTTAAAGTGATGAAGGCAGACAAATAACAATCATGTGTGATAATAACTATTTCTAGTGGTGCACCCTTAAAGACAGCTACTGTCTTACTGCCTTTTGGCTGCATGCGGGAACCCAATGCCATCTTTATCAGTTTATTTAAAATAAACAAACACTCCTAGCCTTGGGGAATATGTAAAATTGTCTAAGTCAGGAAAATTAGTGTGGTTGACATACTCTAGATAGAAAAGTTATGCAACATTGTGTTATCACATAGCCTGCCACCACATACTACCTATTATTAGCCACTAACTATCTCCATTAACACCTATTCACCTTCCTAGCCAGATTGTTATCAACTCCAGGTGCAGGGCTGGATGAACACTGCTTGGCCTGCTGTGTTCATCCAGCCCTGCACCTTGTTGTCTCGGATTCTCCAGCATCTGCAGTTCCTACTATCTTTGTTATCAACTCCTTTGTCTTTCCAGCTGTTCTTCTCTCTCTTTGAGCTCTATCCCCACCTATCGTTTACTGTTTACCCCTTTCCCCCACCCATTCTGGATATAAACCGACATATTCCTACCTACCATCACTTCCGAGGAATGGTCACCGGGGCTAAAACATTAATTCTAATTTTTCTTCACAGATGCTGCCAAAGCCTGCTGAGCTTTTCCAGCAACTTCTTTTTGTAACTGAGTTACAGCATCCGTAGTTCTTTCAGTTCTTATTGTGCATGTCCTGTTCACAAGACTTACTTCCTGTTGTTACAATTTGAGTACAACCTATCCTGAATTTGGTGCTGGTTAATTTAAATAATTTGATAATTCAATTTTGGTGATCAATTTTCCACTTGGTTGTTCTGTTTACTTGACATGGTTCAAATTTTTAATTTTTTCTTGGTGAAGTAAGGTGGCTTTGATTATCATTTATGGACTGTAATGTTTATTTATGTCAATATTTATAATGAAAATGTCTGTGTATTGATTCCTAATTGAAAAATTATGTAAGGCAAATTAACAGCTTTAGATTAGGAAAGTCCTAAAGGTAACACAATTTTTTCAGAGCTGCTGCCAATGATGGGGCAAATTTTTCACACAGAGGGTGGTGCCTATATGGAACAAGCTGCCAGAAGAAATGGTCGAGATGAGTACAGTTACAACAATCAAAAGGCATTTGGACAGGTACGTGAATAGGAAAGGTTGTGAGGGATTTGGGCTCAATGCAGGCAAATTGGACTAGTTCAGTTTAGGAAGGGTCTAGGCCCGAAACGTCAGCCTCTCTGCTCCTATGATGCAGCTTGGCCTGCTGTGCTCATCCAGCCCTGCACCTTGTTGTTTCAGTTTAGGAAACCTGGTCAGCATGGACGTGATGGGCCAAAGAGTCTGTTTCTGTGCTGTATGATTCTTTGACTCTGTGACTCTAACTAGTCAATGTCCAAGGAGAAGTGCTGTCCATACTGATGAATAATTGTTATTCTATGACTTGTTGAGGCTGCTCAGCTGACAGATGAGAAAGAGGATTGGAGAAGGATATGAAAAGCGGACTCACAAAGCTGCAGACTGAATGGTGCTAAGAGTGATATCTTTATGTTTAACTGTAGAATGCTTGGGGCAATCCAATGACTTTATACCATGAAACAAAAACAAAGTGCTGGAAAAACTCAGCAGATCTTTAGAGAGAAAAACAGATATTTCGAGTCTAGTGATCTTTCATCAGAACTGAATACAGCAGGGAAGCGGTGGTATTTATGCTGATGACAGGAGGGAGTGGGGTGAGTAGAGGATATGGAGACAGTATCCAGAGAAAGAGGAAGAAAAGGGGATAGGCAAACAAAGATTGCTGATAAGCCAAGAAGGAGATAGAATGTCGGGTAGAGTGCGAACGAAAAGTGTAAATGATTGCTAATGGATTGGCTCTGCTAGGCCCAACCCACATAAAAAAAACCTTGGAGTGCAGGGGCAAGGGTAACAAACGTAGAGTGGTAATGCCTACCCTTCCATATGTCTGTGAAATATGGATTTCCCACTCCAGACATTGTAAATTTTTGGATCAGTTCCACATGAGATGCATTCATAACACCATAGGCATGAAATGGAAGAACAAGACACCAGCATACCAAAGATCAGAAATGTCCAGAGTTGAAGTACTTATCATGAGAGCTCAGTTTAGATGGACATATAGTGAGTATGACTGACAATAAAATCCCCAAGGTGGTCATCAACTTAAACTTTCACATCACTGGTGAGGTAGGCCAAGACTTCTTGAATACTAGCCTCACAAAATATAGCATGTCCACCTTTTATTGGGACAAAGAAAGAACTATCTGGGGAGCCCAGATCATTTTCTTAGGGTGGGCAGAGTCCAAAACTAGAGGGCTTAGATTCAAGGTGAGAGGGGAAAGATTTAAAAAGGACCTGAGAGACGTTTTCACGCAGAGGGTGGGTGCGTATATAGAATGAGGAAATGGTAGAAGGAGGTAAAATTACAACATTTAAAAGGCATCTGGATGGGGTATATAAGGAATACGGGCCAAATGCTGGCCAATGGGACTAGGTCAGGTTGGGATGTCTGGTTGGTACAGATGAGTTGGATGGAAGGGTCTGTTTCCACGCTGTATGGCTGTGTGACTCTATAACCCTGAACGCCAATGATTGTCTTGAAGAAAACTTAAAACTCTGGATGTATGTATAATTAATGGAGTTGTGTTTGTATGCTGGTGGAGTAGGGGGTAATTTGGTGATGGGGAGGGAGAGGGTGGAGGTATTTCCCAATGAGATCTCCTATGCTGCGACAGAGATAATGTGAGACTGGAGCCTTGAGGCAGTTAGAATTGAATTCCATGGCCTGTCATGCCAAGGGCCAGGAGCATGGGAGACCAGACTTAGACATTTAGCCCAGGGATGATTGGGATCAGGGTTTGGGTGGATGGAAATCAAGGTCAGGGATTGGGGAGGTACACAGGTCAGGCTTAGAACTTTCAAAGGAAGTTCAGGAGTCAAAGGCATTTGGTGGTGGTGGGTAGGGGGAAGGAGAGATTGGGTTAGGACTAAAGGATTGAGATTGGGGTCAAAGTTTTGGTTGTAAAATCAGGATCAATAATTAGGATGTTAGGGCTTGGAGAGGTAGATTAAGGTTAAACTGTTGAGGAGTGGAGAATAAGATTCAGAGCAAGATTAGGAGTTAGGACTTCAGAGAACATTGGTGTCAGGGATTATGGGGAGATCAGGAGTCAGGTCTGTGATTGAGATCAGGGATTAGGGTTTAGAGGTAGATCCGGAAGTTGGAATCTGGAAGGGGAAGATTGGGGTCAGCACTGGGGGTGATATCAGGGGAATTGGAGATAGTTTGGAGATCAGGCCTGGGTGTGGGAGAGGATCAGAATTTTGGAGGAGAGGCTGAGGATTGGAGAAGGGAACCAGAGACAGTCAGTTATGGGGGAATTAGTTTTACAGCCTGGGGAAAAGATCGGGGCTGCAACATCGGAGGCAAGACTCAGTGTTGCAAATCTGATAATGTGGATTAGCCAACTAAACATATAATCTTTTCGTCCTCACTGTCCATGGGTATAGTGCCGGAAGATTGGAGAGTGGCAAACGTCATTCCCTTGTTCAAAAAAGGGAATAGGGATAACCCCGGAAATTACAGGCCAGTTAGTCTTAGTTCAGTGGTGGGCAAATTATTGGAAAGGGCTCTGAGAGATAGGATTTATGATCACTTGGAAAGGCACAGTTTGATTCGTGATAGTCAGCATGGATTTGTGAGGGGTAGATCATGCCTCACAAACCTTATTGAATTCTTTGAAGAGGTGACCAAACATGTGGATGAAGGTAGAGCAGTGGATGTGGTATACATGGATTTAAGTAAGGCGTTTGATAAGGTTCCCCATGGTAGGCTCATGCAGAAAGTAAGGAGGCACGGGATGGGGGAAATGTGGCAGACTGGATTCAGAATTGGCTGACCCTTAGAAGACAAAGGGTGGTAGTGGACAGAAAATATTCAACATGGTGCTCAGTTACGAGTGGTGTACCACAAGGATCAGTTCTGGGTCCTCTTTTGTTTGTGATTTTTGTAAATGATTTGGATGAAGGATTGGAAGGGTGGATTAGTAAGTTTGCGGATGATACGAAGGTGGGTCGAGTTGTGGACAGTGCAGAGGGCTGTTCTAGGTTACAAAGGGACATTGATAGGATGCAGAGCTGGGCTGAGAAGTGGCAGATGGAGTTTAACCCTGAAAAGTGTGAGGTGATTCATTTTGGAAGGACAAATTTGAAAGCAGAATACAGGGTTAACAGAAAGATTCTTGGCAGTGTGGAGGAGCAGAGGGATCTCGGGGTTCATGTCCACAGTTCTCTGAAAGCTGCCACCCAGGTGGATAGAGTTGTTAAGAAGGCGTATAGTGTGTTAGCTTTCATTAATAGAGGGATTGAGTTCAAGAACCGTGAAGTTATGCTCCAGCTATACAAAAGCCTGGTTTGGCCACATCTGGAGTATTGTGTCCAGTTCTGGTCGCCTCATTACAAGAAAGATGTGGAAGCATTGGAAAAAGTGCAGAGGAGATTTACCAGGATGTTGCCTGGAATGGAGGGAAGCTCTTACGAGGAAAGGTTGAGAGAGCTAGGGCTTTTCTCTTTTAACGACGAAGGATGAGAGGTGACTTGATAGAGGTGTAAAAAATGATCAGGGGTATAGATAGAGTGGACAGCCAGAGGCTTTTTCTTAGGGTGGAGGTAGCTATTATGAGGGGGCATAGTTTTAAAGTGAGTGGAGGGAGATATAGGGGAGACGCCAGAGGTAGATTCTTTACTCAGAGAGTGGTAGGGGCGTCGAATGCATTGCCGGAATGGGTAGTGGAGTCGGCCTCATTAGGGGCATTTAAGCGGCTATTAGATAGGCATATGGATGATAGTATAAGGTAGGGGTGAAGGTTAGATAGACCTTAGGATTAGGGTAAAAGTTTGGCACAACATCGTGGGCCAAAGGGCCTGTATTGTGCTGTACTGTTCTATGTTCTATGTTCTAATCTGAATCCTCCCGAGTAACTATGTACGGAAGGAATTTAAAGTGACCTTCTGTCACTGACAAAAGTTTAGTACCTGACCTTGTTGAGCAGGTAAAAATCCAATTTGAATTACTTTTTCTTGAAGTGTGCTGTCTTCAAAACATAGTAATGCAACTTTGTAAAGATTTCACTGACTTGGAATGTTTCAGTTAGGATTTTTTGATTTTAGACTTTCCAGATTAGAACCCGGGCGAAATCAGAGAAACTTTCCTTTGTGGCAAAATTGATGGGAGATATCAAAAATTGCGAATTCTGCCCTTAAACTGCGCACTTCCCATTTCCATGGGGCGGGAGTGGAGTCAGCATGGGTGTCTTGCTTGTGCAGCTTCCAGAGACAGCTGTCATTTACATGGCATTTTGGTAAACTCACTGCATGGAACCTAGAGTGTGCAGAATAAACCAGCTCACAGCCGATTATTTTCACTGCATTTTGAATAGCCAGGTACCCTTTTGGAAAACTGAGATATCGCAGTGGAAGTGGTTTGGGATTCTTTGGTCAGGGGTCAGGTATTCTTTGGGAGGGGATTTCACGTACCCTTTGAATTTGTTAATATTATCTTCAGTTATGTGTGAAAGGCATATAAACCTGTTGGAATTGAAAAACCTATAAAAAGACCTATCAGGAGCTGTTAAGAAATGTCAAGCCACTCAGACCTATCAAACAGTTTCAAACTTGTCTAGACCTGTCAAGAAGTGTAAAATCTGTCAAGACTTTTAAAGAAGTATCACCCTGTTAAGAGGTGTCAAGAACTGTCCAACATTTGTCCAAATGTGCTTTTATGAATGAAAGTGTGTTGCTCAATAGAGTGCAGTCTGCAATACAGATTTTTAACAATATACCTTCATTCTTTTTCTGTGTGCATGCTTAGTCACAGATACAAGGTGAGTTGGCATGGTAGTTGACGTACGAAGGGTCGTAGGTGGAAGTTGGCTGGGTGAATGGGTGGCCATGGGAGTATGGGTCAAGTTACATAGTGTTGTATTGGGACATGAGGGGCCGTAGATGATGTGCAGAGGGGTATACTATGACACAAGGCATGTGGGGACCATGTAAGATTGGTGGAGGGCCTTATGTGGTTTGTTTTGGCATGAATAGGGATAAATAATGTGTGTGGATGAAGGCGGATCTGATAATTTACATTTATTACTTTATTTTAATTTTGGACAGTCCCTGGAGGTCCAAGGCAGGCTTTCTGCCCAGCCTACCTTAGAATCTGGTAGCCTCCACATTCTTGTCCAGGCTAGACTTCCAATCCAGACCATTACACAACCCCAATATAGAAGTCCATTTTTTAAAGATCAAGTTTATGAAGTTGTGCATTCTTCCATCTCTGTGTACATGACCCTGTAATGAAAATCAGCGCCCTGGTTGTTATACATCCAGACATGATCTTGCAAAACAACTTTTGCCCATGGGCTGAAGATACTCAAGCTGGCTAGACTCTGTTCTGAAGTGCCACACAACTCTCTTAATAATGCAACCAACATGCCAGCTAATATCAAGGACTGAGCTACAGTAAACTGTCTGGTTTTCTGAGACTCCACTTTACAGATTTTTTTATATTCAAATGTTTAATAGGAGAAATGACACTACAGTGATACCTTTTAGGTTGAGCATGTAAGAATGGAATTGTAGCATTAGAACTGCATGAACAGTGAATGCCTACCTGTTAAGCTGGTTGCTCTGAAAGATTCCTGACTCTTAGAAGACCGAGAACGACCCTGGTTCTTCTGTTTACCACTTGCTGATCGTGCACTGCGGATGTGAACTTCAGTGGCTTTGAAGAAGGCCACCATGAATGGTTGTTTAGTCTGAGGCCCAAGTCTCCCTATCAGACCAGCCATCTTGGGATTGACACTCTGCCCTTTTGGAAAAACAAATACATTAAAATTAGTTTATTTACCATTTCACATGCCTTTATGTGCGGTAAGGTCTTGCTATTTGTGGAGTTACATGGAAAACATTGCAAAATAGTGAACAGTTAGTATGATTTATAATGGAAGTCAATTGGATAGATTTCAAACATCTGAAGAATAGAAAATAAAATTCAATTAAATACAATGATTTCGATAAATAAAAGATATTTTACTGTAGAAAGTATCATAGTGTTCTGTATTCAATTATACTAATTCACAAAACAACATTAATGCACAAATTATGTATTAGTAATGTCACTGGACTGGTAATCCAAAGGCTCGGGCTAATGCTCCTGGGTCATGGTTTAGAAATATGGAAAACAGGAGCAGGAATAGGCCATTCAGCTCTTCGAGCCTGCTTCACCATTCAATATGATCATGGTTTGAAGATGGTGATTACTTCAGTTTATAAATATAGAATTAAAAGCTTGTTCAGTGGTGACCACAAAATCATTGTTGATTGTCATAAAAACCCATCTGGCTCACTGATGCCCATTTTACCTTAGATGGTGTCGACTGCACCCAGTTATATGACTGGCTTGGAAATGACCTAGCAAAGCACTCAGTACTGTTCAATGATAGTAGGAACTGCAGATGCTGGAGACTCTGAGATAACAAGGTGTAGAGCTGGATGAACACAGCAGGCCAAGCAGCATCAGAGGAGCAGGAAGGCTGACGTTTTGGGCCTAGACCCTTCTTCAGAAATGGGGGAGGGGAAGGGGGTTCTGAAATAAATAGAGAGTTGGGGGGGAGGCGGATAGAAGATGGATAGAGGAGGAGACACACAGGTCAAAGAGGTGGGGATGGAGCCAGTAAGGGTGAGTGTAGGTGGGGAGGTAGGGAGGAGATAGGTCAGTCCAGGGAGGACAGACAGGTCAAGGGGGCGGGATGAGGTTAGTAGGTAGGAGATGGGGCTGGGGCTTGAGGTGGGA